TCATGGTATTTTCCGTGAACTGGACTGAAACTTGGAAGTCAGTGACCAATTGGAAAATGCCTTTATGCTACTGGAAAGGATTAACTTAATGTCTCATGAGAGGCTTTTTATTGCAGCTGCAGGCAGAAGATTATTACAATAAAGTAGTATTTTAATAACACCATCAATTTCATCATCCCTGAACATTTCTGGGCATAAATAAATTCAGTTTAACAGGTTTCCACTGAGCTCACCTGTTAACCTGTCACCGGTTAAACATTCACATAAAGGACAACATCTCGTCATCCCTTTACTAAGTAACTAAAACCATACATGTGAAAGTTTCTGCTTACCTCAAGGACATGCTTGACAACGGCATCCGAGGCACCGAACAAGTCAACACCAGAGATGCCTCGCACATCCGTCTCCACAGCACCAGGAGACAGGTTCTTCTTCCTCAGACCTGGAACCAACATTCACAGCACCACATGCAAAGGGGGGAGGGGGAGCATATTCATTTTAGACAATCCAAGTCAACAATCAAATATGAAATAATATCACGGAAGCAGTGAAAATACAGAGAGTGATTTTAAAAGGAGGGAGAACTGCTGGACTACTGAACACACACAGGGTGGAAAAACACCAACACATCCTCTGCTTTCTCAGCCCCTGCCAACTTGGGTCTGGAAACAATCACGGTTGTAGCAGAACTGCTGATTGGGTTAATGAATCACTGGCATACAGAAGAAAAATCACAATTACTCATGATTTGATTGGATAGCAGATCAAGATTCACTGATTACCTCCCAGAAACAAATTGATCAGGGGGGAAAAAAACGATTGAGAAAACACAGCTTGCGTTTTCAGGATTCCTGCCCGTTAAATCAATGTGGTGAACAGATAGCTCAGCAGTAGAGAGAAATGACACAGGGGGGGAAGGAATGACACTAGGAACCCATGTGCAGGTGTGGATGTTTCCAGGGAGAGCATGGGATAAGGAGGACGCAAGGAGTGCAAGTGGACTTTGGTTGATGAGGGTGGGGTTGTGGTTGGGTGGGTGGGTGGTGGTGGCTGCCGTTGTAAAGGCGTGCTCTGATGGGGCGATGGATGTCAGAAATATGAGTTTGGAGTTTAGAGGCTCGTGCATGTTTCTGTCAGGATGATTGAGTCACATGCAGAGTTAGATTACAGCTAAAAATAGAGGGAAGTTAACAATATGATGAATAACGCTTCAAGAAATATAAAAAAATATATATTTCATATTTCATGTTAGGTTTTCCGTGCATTGAGTGCCAGGAGAAGTAGAGCATTTTAACATCTGTACTGAGATTAAGTCTGTAAAAGATGCACTTCCAAACCAGTTAGTAACGATGGTGGTTATTTTTCTTGATGCAATGTAGTAAAAACGACAGTATGGAAAGCAATACGAGTTTCTGATAAGTAGAGTATGAGAGCAAAGTCACAAGCTAAATTGAGGTTGTTCCTAGAGCGAGGTTGGTTAAACATGAGAACTGCACATCATGTTCTAGTTCATAAAAATGCTATGGAGGGATGCAATCATGCTCAATGGTAGAAACTGTAAAAAGCAAATAGATCCCAGGAGGTGAGGAGACAGTGACAGATTCACATTGTTCGGAAGAATTTGAGGGGTGATGCCAGCCAGTTAATGATTTGGTTAGTGAGTAGACAAGCAGACGAAAGGGCAAGAAACATCAAGAACAAAAAAAATCAGAGCATGCAGAGGCACAGAAACACTTCTCCCATTTTCTATTTGTGACTTTTCTTTTTAAATATGTCTGCCACCTTTCAGATTTCTTCACAGTTTCTTCATTCAGGATGCTCATTTCCAGTGGCTAGTATTTCATTAACAAATACCACACTGTAAATATCTTCATTAAAACTATGTCCCTGTCTGTCCTGACAGGAGAAGTGTTTCTGCAAATAGCCCACAGAGATTTGTCCTCTACAAGTTGGAGAGGCAGAAGAGGTGGTCCAGGACTTGATATTCGTCCTGTTCCAGCTTCTTCTTTGTCCTCCCTACCACTCGCTACCTCCACCCCCACCCCTCTTCCAAAACCCAGCCCGCCATCCTCTTGTCCACCGTCCCAGAGCCCTCACCGGAGATATCCCACACTCGCACGGTCTGGTCCAGACTGGCTGACACCACCAGGTCCTCGGATGGATGGAACTGGGCGCACATCACATAGTGATTATGGCCGGTCAGCACACTGTGGATAAAAAGCAAAGACAAGGTTTTAGAACAGAAGTTACCTTGATGTTTTGCTTCTGGGATAATCAAACATGATCAGTAAAATGCTTTCACTTAAAACCTGTAAACTGCTTAGTGAGTTTATTTGATACTTCACATGAAACACAGTAATACAGACATGACCCAAAGTAATACAAATTTCAATAATAGAAAAATAAAAGTGTGCCTGACCAGACACAGGTCCTGGACTGCCAGTTCCAGATGCGTATAGTCTGGTCATCCGACGCACTTAGAATCCAGGGGTACTCCTACAGAAAGTGAAAAAGGTTAATTAATTAAATCATTGAAGATTGTTTTTTGACATGAGCAACAAGATAATGAGTCTTTGTCACCCTGGTCCTTGACATAGATAGAAAACATGTATTTACAGTGAAAGAATAACTCACATGGTGGAAGAAGGTGGTTCTGATGTAGTCCAGGTGTCCAAGGAGGGTGAAGAGACAGCGTCTCAGCTTGTAGTTCCAAACCTGGTCAAAGCAGGAATATGTACTCATGTGTATACATAACAATTCTATAGAAAAGTCCTGTGATAGATGTTTGAATCCAAGCTGTAGCTGCCTTTGGTTATTAGGTCAGATCCGTCACGTAGCTGCACCAGCTGAGTGTTTGCAGATGTTTACTTTCATGCCTCATTGTTTGTGCAAGTTATCTCCTACTTTGATAAATTCTGTAACCTTTTCTGTCTAGTCACTATTTGTGTTTATAATTTGTTTGGCTATAACTTGAAGATAGAATTTAACAATTTAGCTTTTATGCATCAGTTATTCCTGATATTTTGGACTATTCACATTCTTCAGACTGAACTATTGTGAGATGTGAATAAAATCATTTCTGCCCCTCTGACTGGAACTGAGACTCCTGAGTGTATACGTATGGGAGTCCGAGTGAATGGCACAGGAGTGGACGCACACAAACAACATTTTGGTGCAGAATGACTTTGCAGGAAACATATGTTGTGCGTAAACCTTGCAGCTTCGTTGCATTTGTGTTCGGTGACAGCAGCCTCACCTTAATTTTGTAATCGTCTCCTCCAGACACAAACAGAGGCTGCTGTTTGTGGAAATCAATTCCTCTGACGGGCCCTGTGAGAGGAGACACGTCAGTTCAAACCACACATCTGATGAAAACCACAGCCTGGATTTATTTGATAGATATTGTTCCTCGTTGATCTTTTTACCATCATGCTCATCGAACTTGTCGATCAGGGTGCACATCCGATAATCCCACAGCTGGATGACTCCGTTGTGCAAACTTGCGAGGACCCATGGTCTTTTAGGATGGAAGCTCAGACCTGCAATGTAAAACATGTGATCTTTAGCTTCACTTATAAACAGGCCAGCTGAGAGGTCACCTACACCCGATAAAAAGCAAGGGAACCATGTTAACTAGTGAAGTTTAGCTAGGTTTGCTACGTTAGCTAGGCTATACAGCTAATTTTATATTCAGGTGGGGTCAACATATCTACATGTGAACACAAGACGTAAGATATATATAATATAAATAAAGAGTCTTTTAAAAACAACATTTATCCATTGACACACTCTTGTTAAAGTTAATTAAAAAAAACAACCTGATCCCGGATAACGACAGCTAGCTCCCGTTAGCTGCTATGCTAACTACAGCAGGTGAGGCTCTTACCTTTAACTCGGGCCGACTTCGTTTCAAACTTGGTCAACATCGTCGCGACGCGGCCGCTCTTTTAATTCTCCGCTAAAATATGAGTCCACACCGCGCAGAGGCTGGATGAAGCTGTCCGGGATGAGGTGAAGTCACTCAGCCCCGTCGCCTTCGACCATTTAGCCGATCCTGCTTCTTCTTCTTCTTCCTGACACGTCGTCCGTTCTGTCTTCCGGTTGTGAACAATAAAGTTGTGAAGTGAAAGATGTGACGCAGAAAGCGCCACGCCGGCTGAGCATAGAAACACAACACATAGACCGGAGCTCCACGGGGCACACGGGCAGTGATTCATCTAAGATGAGTATTTCTATATCTTCATTCCATTTCTACAGCTGATTCCTGTATCGACTATTGTCATTACGAAACCTGAGGTGCATGATGGGAAATAAAACCAAGTACTGAGGTCTGAGTTAAAGAAATAGAAACATAAACATAAATGAATATAAATACAATGAAATAAGAACAATAGAATCTCCAACTAAACAAGGACAAAAACAAAGAACAACAGATTCAAAAGGTGCAAATGAGTATTTATAAATGTGGGTGTAAATATTACTGCATATGAAAATAGTATAAGTACTTCATCTGATTATGATAATTGATTTTGATTGCACTCAGCATGTACACATGCTGTTTAACGCATTTGTCCTGTTGCTCTGATGTTCTGGTCTTAAATTCATACAGTTGAAATGTCAACTTTATTTATCCAGCACATTTCCTTGGCTGATCCAGGAGATTTACAAAGTATAATGTATAAGACGAAAACACCAATACACAATATATCATTATACTGATGATAAAAGAAGGCCAAAGAGAAGAGGTGTGCTGAGTTGAGGGAGCGACTTGACAAACTTAACTTAAAACTTCAATATTGAATTGTTTAATCCACTGTTCAACATTAGTATCATATTTTAAATGTGTACATAAAACCTCCCCAGCCACACGTAGGCCAGTGAAAGGTAGACTAATTCAAATGGAGTGAAATAGAGGCATAAAACTGAATAATTCATTACAGCAAAAGTACCTGAATACATATTCTTCCTCTCACATCCACTGATAATAATTCACAACAGAATTTAAGTTGATATATATCATTTTATTTTATATATTTACAAAACAAAACAAAGTCAAATGACAGGTTGTTTTTGTGAACCGTTGCTTTGGGGATGTTTGTGTCATCCCTGAGAGTTGAATAGGTTGCACCCCCACCTCTTCATGATGAAAACCACAGGCCTCCACAGCAGCCTCCCCCTAAACCGTGTTTGATGTACATCTGATCACACCTCAGTGCACGGCTGGCTGAATCCTTTCACAGTAGTACCCCTTTATTATACAGTTATTGACGAGCTGATGGTCGTGTGAGTTCCAGACCTCTCTGTAGTGACAGCGGTAAACTTTTGTCCACTGGCAATAGCGGCTGGTGAAAAGTGGCCTCTGGACTGAACGGACCCACCAACCACCGCTGCAATGTGCCAACAGGCTGTTGATGCCCTAACACATGTTCATTTGATTTTTATTACTATGCCTGTCAGTTTTTTCAGCAAAGAACATTTTGTACTATACACGTGGAGGGAACCGAGGACATGCACAGTGTTGGTAAACACTCCTGAACACCACTCAAGTGTTTTTCTTTCCAAGCAGGGACCCCATACCAAAGAAAACACCACTCTGCACATTAAAAACACCGGGAAACACGAGGGAAGCACTTTGCACAGTAACTCTACACTATAATTATCACTGTAACCACAGCAAAGGCATCCGGCAATCAACATCTCAATCATTTCAAACCAATACCTGGAAGTGGGGACTAATATTCAGAGGATGAGTGTTGTTAAATTAGTTGGCTGAATCACAGAAAGTGCTGCAAACTTCTCACATGGTGTTCAATCCTCACAAGTCATGTTAATTCTTTAAATAATTAACAAATGTACAGTTATGTTTTCTCATTTCTTCACATGTTAATAAATCGTTAACTCGTTAATTCAAATCCTGTACAGCCTGACGAGAGATTAAAGTGTGATACCAAGTTAAAGTAAATAGCAGCGAATGACGACTAACTTGTTGTAAACCTATGACTTTAAAACTATCATGTGAAGTGTTCAGCTTGATGGATTCATTTGACTATGCAACTAAATTAATAAATTAAAGTCATTCTGCAAAGGCACAGTTTATACCTGCGTGGTGGTGTGATAGATTTTACCATGAGGTTAAACTGTTTGTAAAAACAAATATAGAAAAACAGGCAGTGGTATTTTGTTTTTAAAGGAATGCAGGTAAAATTCACTATGAATGTAGCAACCGATGAAAAACTAATGCAGAGATGTTAAAATGTTCTCAGTTGTGTGCTCCTTGAGAAGAACGTGTGTGCAGTGCTCCTGTTGGTTCTCTCCCGTGCCTCCTCCTGTTGTTTCTGCGATCCACACACCTTCTACTTGAGGGAGTAGAGTCGACAGTCTGGTCACACTCCTGCCTGACCACTGTTTTACACTCGGTCGTCTCTTCTTCATTGCTGACACACACACACACACAGACTGACCCTTTTGGCACCAGTGCTTCTGATGGACGGCACCACGACCTGCTCACATGATGGAGCACTGCTCTGCCGCCCCGGCCCCGGCTCCTCCGGGGAGGACGAGTGACTCCATGTCAAAGTTAAATCCAGGAGGCTGGAGGGGAAAAGGAAGAGAGACAACACATTCATGTCTTAATAAATGTTGCAAATTGTCAATACTCTAAAACTAAATACATTTATCAACGGTCAAGTTTCCTATTATGTACATACTAATAGATACTTATTCAATATTTCTGTGTGATGAAGGCAATAAAGGGAAATAGAGTTAATGGCAATTTGAGATTTTTCTGTGTCATTCTTTTCACCTTTGCAGTTTAGTAGCTTTATTTATTCTCTATTTAATTTTCTGGATTAATTGAAAACAAAAATACCTTTAAAATCATTTTATCCACGAGAAGTTTCTGAATTAATTTTTTTTAAATCAACATCAAGATAAAAAAAAACTCTTTATCAAGAAATAAAGAGTTCATAAAGAAAAACACGAGCAGAAATGGTTTGAGTTGGACACAAAATAAATTGTTTTACTTACCGCATCACCTGCCAGTTCTTTGGGTGGCTGGCCCAGGTCTTGCAGCTGTAAAACCAAATATATATTATCTACGATGCATTTAATTTCTATTCACTATAAGTTAAGATCCCCGGCAGATGTAACAAGTACAATAGTAGCTTGTTAATAAAGATATCTTCATCATGCAAATTATGTTTCTGTTACTATAACGGTCAAATGCAGATTCACAATGTAAATAATCAAGAAAGAAAAGACTAAAGACACTGTAATAAACCTAGACACAGATCACTTCTCTACCTTTTGCATCAGGTCCATGATGCTCTCAAACGTCCCCTCTTTATCTTCTGCCCCCTCTTCCTCCTTCTCAAACCGCTTACAGATCTCTCCCATAATTTGGGCCTGCTGCTCATAGCGCTGGTAGTCCTCTGCACTGAGACTCGGCTTGTTGGCATCCAACCACTCTGGGTACTGTGAGGTTGAGTGAAAGTTATTACAACTCTGACAAGGACAGAGAAGATACGGTAACTTCTACTGAAATGAATAATACCTTGGTAGTGATCTCTTTGAGAGATGGATAAAGCACTTCCTTAGAGAGCAGATTTTGCATGATGGACTGCATGATGGGCAGAATGTTCCCGTCATCATTGCCTCCTTCGCTACTCTCATCCAATCCAAGACCTTCCAGAGCTTTGACAAGATCGTCTCCAGCCAGTCCTGTTGACTACAAGAAACCAAATACAACACGGTTGGAAACTTGATTGAATTATGACACTGAACAGTTTCAAAACAATTCTGACTTGACCACCCACCTGCAGGTTGTCTGCATTTTTGGCCAGGCCACGGAGGGTGTCTTTAAGACAAGAGGTGAATTCTTGTTGGGAGGCAGTGTCACAGCCTTAATAAAACATACAGGCAACATTTAGGCTATGTAAGTAGGAGACATATCAAAAACCACAAAAACAATTCAAAGTGAAGACCTTACCAACTTTGCCTGCAGCCTCTGACAGTTTGTGGAAGTGCTGCAGTAACTCTGGCTCCTCCTGGGCCAGCTCACTCATGGCCTTCTCCCACTCATCCTTGGCTTGAGAAGCCATTTCTCCCTCAAAGAGAGTCTCAAAGAGCTTGCAGTCCTCAAGGAGGGGTGGCTACACAGGGAAACAGTACAAATTAATTCACGAGCAGTGACTAAATGACAAGTGCAATCCAGTCAATGGAGAAGATGTAGTCAAAGAAAAGCAAGTATGTGATAATTTAGTTTTCAGACCTTCTCTGCACCACTTTTAGCTGAAGCGGAAGCAGCTGCAGGTTCAGGGGCCGCAGGGGCCGGTGTCTTGTCAAAGTCATCCAATGCACCTGAAAGACAGAGACACGACATGAGATTGTGTCAATGTTACCTTGTGACAAGCTACGTAGCTGATAGCTAGTTCCTAGCTCTGTTCTGGATCATGTGGTTGTTGATCACTCACTCGCTCTGGTTTGTTGAAAGAAGAGAAGAGTTTGTAGCAGGGGCGTGTGTGTATAATTATTGCACATGTGTGTATGTAGTTATTGCACATATGTGTATGTATAGTTATTGCACATACGTGTATGTAGTTATTACACATGTGTGAGTATAGTTATTGCACATGTGAGTATAGTTATTGCACATGTGTGTGTATAGTTATTTCACATGTGTGTGTAGTTATTGCACATACGTGTCTGTAGTTATTACACGTGTGTGAGTATAGTTATTGCACGTGTGTGGATAGTTATTGCATATGTATGTATAGTTATTGCACATGTGAGTAGTTATTGCACATGTGTGTGTATAGTTATTGCACATGTGAGTATAGTTATTGCACATGTGTGTGTATAGTTATTGCACATGTGAGTATAGTTATNTGAGTATAGTTATTGCACATGTGTGTGTATAGTTATTGCACATGTGAGTATAGTTATTGCACATGTGAGTATAGTTATTGCACATGTGTGTGTATCAGTTGTTTCACATTTCTCGTCACAAAGCGCAAACAGGCAGGACAACAGATGTTGTTAGTCACGAGTTGACTGAATGTTGACGACATTAAATGCACAAACAAAGCTCGTCAGCACAAACACGAGCCCAGAAACACTCGTTGGGTTTTAGTGTCACTGACAAACTCTTCCTGTCATCCACTTCATTACACTCAAGGACAACGACGTCGTGCTGAAACCTTCTCTCTCTGGCTCTGGATCGGTTCTCAGTGAGCTCACATGATGAACACAGAGCAGTCATCACAACAACACCTCCAGCTCGAGCTGCTCTGTGATGATTGGCGTCATGTTGTCAATATCTGGGACAGAAGCCAGAGGTCCCAGCGAGCACACGAGCTAACCTCGCACAGAAACGAGGAGAAACGAGGGAACCAGAGCCACAGAGCCCGGTATCAACCCGGGACCACCCGGACCGATGTCGGCTACACGTAAATACTTAGTGTCGTGTCTTACTGTCCAGTAACTCGTCCAGTTCTGTGTCGTGTCCAGAGGACGGCTCTCCTGCTCCGGACGCCATGATGTTCTCCAAACACCCACTGTTTCCGTAAAGTGAAGAAAAATGTCGCGGACACTTGTCCTGCAGGAAAGTGGACTAACCAACCGGCGAGCTCCTATTGGTGGATAGACGCGGATCCCCGCCCACCTATCAAGCATCGACCAATCAAAACCATGTGTGTTTAAAATAAGGCGGGTTCAACGGTATGATTGACAGAGAATGCGGCCAATGGAAGCGACGCTGAAACGCTTTCGTCAGACTTTCTAATTCTTTCGGTCAAAGAACCAAAATGGCGCCGTTGCTCTTTCTCCATATGGGACATGAACAGTGTTTCCTGAACAACAAACAGTCTGCGAGGAAAACTAATGAACAAAACTTATAATTAATACGATGAAGTGTGAATTTAATGCAATTTAAACAAAACAACAACACAAGCACAATGAGTGAACTGTGAAAGCACAGGCCTTGGATAACACAGCAAAGTGACATGACAAAAAATAATAAT